AATATTCGGCCAATGTAGTTGCGGATTAGTATAAAGATTCAAATTTGTTGCAAAATATTTTTAAAAATGGTATCGTTTGACAGAATAAAAGAAGGTTTTGATATTATCTTTCCATTTTTTTTAAATTATAAAAATAAAAAAAAGAAGCTATATTTATGTATCTTTAAGAATCTTAAAAGGTTCCTTATAAGAAATAAATTTCAAAAGATTCTCGTGACTTAATGTTTTGTTTTAGGGACATTATTCTTTTTTTTTATTTCTTATTAATTTAATATCTCTGGATATTTTTCATATTTAGTTTGCGTACAACAGTTAACAACTTTAAGCTTATGCATTAACTTTAGTTATAACTTTATTGTTATTGATTTGATTTATAGATTTTTATAGATTGAATTTAGCAGAAGGCTAAACTTCTGCTCTGGAGACAAAAAATAAAGACAACCAAAGTAAAGATTAAAGAGACAAAAAATTGTGTATATCTTGGTGTAGATGATTTTGCATCAATTTCTTATAATAAAACAAAAAATATCAATAAACTTTGGGATTTAACTGTAACTCTAAACAGAAGTTTTTTTTACAGAAGTTCATTGTTTGCTCTGAGAAGAATAAACAAAATTTATTAAGTGGTAAGTTTTTATATAAAAGTCTTTCTGTCTGATGATTGAAAATTTTTATTGATAGCTTTAAGTTTCACAATTTTAAAGACTTTTTTATATATTAACGGTCAAAAAGTCAGAGTGTTAATTAACATTTTATTGTGTGATAATCAACATATCAAAGCTTACAACACAGGTTTTGTCAGGTTTTTAGTTGTTTTGAGAACATTTAAGTTTATGAACATAACAAAATATTTTCGTTGGATTTCAAAGTTGGTGTCACCAACTCTAAAATCCATTTAAAATAAACTGTTGAAAAAAACAATAGAGTATTTATATCAGTTTAAAGTTTTAACAGTTGCTGGTGATTCATTATTATTAATTATATAAACGTTTATTTAAATTTATCAAATAGACGAAGATAATATAATATTTTTATAGATGATATTATTTTTAAAAATTGTATTATTCAAATTCAGAACTAAAGTATGTAAAAAAATTATTTGCCAACATTGGCCAAGGTCCGTAATGTACCTGGAAAATCTGGAAAACTTGTTAATATTAGCTAAAGTCGTGGAAAACCTGGAAAAGTCAGGGAAATATGTTGTTTCTTTAGATAGTCATGGAAAAGTCAGTTATACTACTTAAAAGGTTACTCGTTTCTCAATTGAACGCTGTATTTTGAAAACGTGAATAGTCACACTTTTTTAAAAAGTAAGGTTGTTTAAAAAGAATATTTTTTTTTAGATAAAATAAAGACTTTTTTTAGATAAAATAAACAATTTTTAGATAAAATAAAACTGAAATTTTTTACAGGAGAAATGTTTCCTGTAGATTTTTAATTTTGTGACTTGTCACACAGCGCTCGAAATAACAGCCGATCAATGATCGGCTGTTTTAGGAGAAATTTTGAAAAAAATTCTAGGAAAAATAACCTGTTTTTGTGAAAAAATTACATTTGATCGGTAAGCTTTGAAAAATTTTTTCGAGCCCTGGTCACATTTTCAAAATACAGCGCTCAATCATGCTATTTTGTTTTTTTTTGGTGCTAGCCATTTATTTTTTCTGAAACTTATATTTTTCTTAGTGTTCATTCTTAGTCATCCTTAACAATAAGGTCCATACTAACATGTATAGTAAGATCCATACTAATATCCAAATTAACTAATAGCTAAGTTTGGTTAGGGAAATTCGTCTAATTTTTCAATGAAGTCATTGAGTTTTATATAAATAGTTAGCTTCGAACCCTGTTGGAGAAACATTGTTTTAATATGAATTTTTTTGTTTTACAGTGCAATTTGTATCTCAAACATTAATGAGAATTGTTTTGTGTCAGTGCCAGAAATTGAATGTACACCTGCAAATTTTGTAATTTATAAAAATATTATGAATCCATTTGCAAGTATTTATTTTTATCATTAAAAATTTGCCCCTCTGTCTTTAATTTTATCTGTTTTATTAGTGATTATTGTATTTACTTTCATAAATTCTAAATATAATATGTAATTAGTTGTATAGTTTCTTAATAATATAATTAACTTTATTGTTTCAAGATAAAGTTGTATCCTTGAAAGATATGCTGGTTTTATTAGCACAATGGATAAGCATTGAAGAGCAACTTGGTGAACTACTAAACACATCGAATTCAGTTATAAAAAATCGAGTAACAAAGGTATGCTAATTGTTGTATTACCTGAAAGAATATCATTGCCATTAAAAGCAGTGAAGAATTCAAATACTCTGAATGGAAAAAGACAAGAAAATACTAAATTAAATGCTAAATATTTTTTTATGACCTGTTTATGCATTTTGTATGATATCTTAGTACAACTTATATACTTTAAATAAAATACTCTTTGAAGATTTCTTGTAAATGACATTTTATATTAGTTTAAGTCTAAACAAAAGTTACTTTAATTATTGCCAGGATGTGCATTTTTGCAGGTCAATTAATTGGCACAAATTAGAGTTAAAGACGAAGGAGATTGTGTATGTTATTTACTAAGAATAGTTTTTTAAATTGGCCTAGCTGTAAAATTAAACTATGCAGGGAGAAGACAAAAAATTGTAATAGAAAAAATGTTGATTGCATATGCTGCTATCGGTAAGTGGTTTAAAAAAGTTAATTTTTTCAGTTTCAATTTTGTATTACAGAATTACTTTTAATTTGTTATGTTTCTTTGGTGCATAATTAAGCAAACAAATATTTTTTTTGCAGAAACTGTGAAGTCAAATAAACATGGCTAATGCAGACATAATGATAGTGAAAAAAAAAAAAAAATAATTGTGGGCACCAAATATCATAAGCTAAGCACGATTCAATAACAAGTAGCTCAGCCAATATCGAAACTACTCTATAAATTTTATAGTGATTTTTTTAAATTAAAACTCAATGTGTCAGTTTTTAGTTTCAGTTTGGTGTTTGCAATATTTATATTTAACCGAGAAATTATGTTAAATAAATAAATTTTTATACTTGTATCATTCTCTTTTTTCTCTATAAATTTTCAATGTAGCGGTGCAAATCATCTTACCTGTAACAACGATCTAATGTTGCTTAAAACGTTAGGCCGATATATAACATACGATATTGGGCCAATGTTGTATACAACATCAAGCCAATTTTGTATACAACGTTGGGCCAATCTTGTTTACAACTTTGGGCCAATGTTGTATACAACGTTGGCCTAACTTTATATACAAGGTTGGGCCAATGTTGGGTAAACGTTGTATACAACATTGGGCCAATGTTGTATATAACATTGGGCCAATACCTAACCAATGATCAAACCTGCATTGGGCCAACATCGACTTTCAACGTTGGGTCAATGCATCATCATACATTGGCCCAACGTTGGTCCAATATAAGCCTGCTGTCTGGGAACTGGGCTAGCATTGGGCCGCTAGCGAGAGGCTGTCTGGATTTTGTCTAAATTATTTTTTTTTTTTAGTTTTAAGGTTTTTTAGTTTTAAGATTTTTGAGTTTTTTTTTTTGTAAATAACAAATAATAAAAAACTAAATAGGGGGAGGGGGTGGGTGGTGGTATGATAACAAGGATGGGAAAAATTTCCAGAAATTAATAAACATATCTTCCCGTGTATTAAGAAATTAAGAGTACAATTACTATAGTTTTTTGTCTTTTTTTTAAAATAAATAAATAAAAAAGGTCTTCTTACGGAGTTTTATAAAAATAAAATAGGAAATACAAAATACCAACAGCGTGTACATCTGTGAATCATATCTACAGCATATTTATACATTATAGACCCCTTTTCGTTGTTTTGATTTTGCGAAACAAATGCGCATGCGCCCGTCTTTGGCAGTCAAAACAAAGCTAAACTGTAAATATTAATTAGTGTCTTTTATTAATATAGAAGTATAAGGTTTAATTTATACAAAGTTTTTTTTAATAATCATTTATATTTATAAAATAATATGCCTGACGTGTGTTGTGCCTATGGATGTACAAATTGAAGAACATTAGCTAATGCTTATTTTAGCTTTTATCGAATACCAGCTAATAAATCTGAATCTAGTGCTAACAGAAAAGACAAATGGGTTGCAGCAATTAAAAGAGAAAAATGGAACGTAAAACAAATAAATAATGCTTGTTTGTGTAGTGCTCATTTTACTACAGGTAAGATTTTTAGTTTTCCATTCAGTTTTTTTTGTGTTCTAATAGTTTTGATGTATTTTTTATACTTAAATAAAAATAATAAAAAATAAACTCTTAAAACTTTAAGTATTCTTACTTATGTATTAACTGATAATCATCTTTTTTTTAGGAAAAAAATCTGATGATCCCTGTCATATTGATTATGTTCCAACTGTATTTTCTTTTAAAAAGACACATGGAAAACAAATTAAAGCTTCTTTAGAACGATATGAGCGATCAAAAAAAAAGGCAGCGAATTCTTTCTAGTAATGACTATATTACCGATTCACGAGGTTGGATCATTTAACGAGACAGAAATTAATGAGTTGGTTGAAGGGGACTGTTTAAATTGTACTTCGGAAAACGAGATAACCCAAAGAGCTGTTGAAATAGGTAAAACAAGAAAAAAATGTTTGTAAATTAAATTTATCTTAATTGGTGTCCCTGATATATAATTTATGTGTTGATTAACTTTTAAACTAATTGTTTTTTTTTAAAAAAAGTTTGGAAGAATTTATTAGTAGTATTATTTTCATATTAGTATAAAATATTATTAGTATTGTAAAATATAAGCATAAAGTATTATTTGCATAATTTTAATTTTAGGCACACAAACTGAAGTATTTGTAACAAAAGAAAAACAACTAGAACGAACTTTGAGATAAAAGATATTTGAAATACAAAAGTTGAAGCAAAAGTTACAAATATGTCAAAGACAATTAAAGTTTACAAAGGAGAAGATAATTGACTATATTAATATTAAAGAAAAATCATTAAACTTTTTAACTGGAATTACCAAACCAGCTTTGTTTGAATGGAATTTGCAAGATGTTAAATCTTGTGTTAAACCTATTGTTAAAACAATGTCCTTAGAAAACCATTTATTAGTTGTATTAATGAAGTTAAGACTTGGACAAAAAAAAAAAAAGATTCAGTTTTGAGATTTAACATTAGTGAAGGAGTCATATTAAAAATATTTCGCCAATATATTGTGCAATTTGATTGTGTGGCCTGAACGAGCTGCTATAAGAGCAAACTTGCCATGTTGTTTTACAAACTTTAAATATTGAATATGTATAATGGACTGCACTGAAATACTTATAGAAAGGCCACATAACTTACAGCTTGGGCTCAAACCTACTCTACCTATAAATCACGTAATACCATTAAATATTTAATTGGAATAACACCAGCTGGTGCTGTAAGTTTTTTATCATCTGGATGGGGTGGTCGAGCATCAGACAAACTGATCACAATTGAGTCAGGTTTTTTAGATAAAGTTTGTTACAGAGATTGTATTTTAGCTGTTAGAGGATTTTTAGTGGAAGAAGAATTAACAGCAAGAAGAGCTGTTTTAATAATACTAGCATTTACAAAAAGTAAAAATCAAATGGCTGTAAAAGACATTGATTTATCACGTCAAATTGCTCGTGTGAGAAACCATATAGAAAGAGTTATTGGGCGTTTAAAAAAATATCAACATCAACTATACCTGTAAACCAGGTTGATTTACTTGTTAATATAATGATTTCAGTGGCTGGACTTATAAATTTAAATAAAAGTGTAGTACAGAAGTAAAAAATGTCTAATAATAAATTTTTATTTTCAAACTAAACAGTACAAAATATTATTTTAAACAATTTGAACAAATCCAAATTCCTTTAGGAGCACGAGTTACATTAACACATGAATAGTGAAACCATTCAATTTCACAACTAGGTTTATTACATGCAATCATTGGTTTAAAGCATGGGCATTTACAAATGCAATAGTATTTCTGCTTGTTGCTATAATAAATATCATTTTCTCTTGTTACAGTCTCTGGTAAAATGTATGTAAAATAATATTTGTGTAATGCCTGCTTTATCTCATTAATACATTTTTCATCTCGATAAACTCTAACTAATAGGTAATATCCTTCACTTTCTAAGGTTGTCCAAATAAAAAAGTCACAAAGTTCTACTTCTAAAATCATCATTTGTCCTTGTATTTGGGTATAATACTTATGGCTTGTTTTTAAATCACCATTTTCACATACAGGAAAATTTATATATATATATAAATATGTATATATATATATATATATATATATATATATATATATATATATATATATATATATATATATATATATATATATATATATATATATATATATATATATATATATATATATATATATATATATATATATATACAATAAAAATAGAATAATTAAATATATTGTTTTTGTTGAAACATTTATTTTCCCTACCTTCAATTTTACAAAACAAAACTGAACATCTTCTTTAAGAATATTACAATAAACATCTTGAACATGTCCACAAACAAAAAAATTATATGCTTCAAGAGACTTATAGGCCTTCATATTCTCATTTGTGTACTGGCTCGGAGTATTTATGAGATATGTGTATATATCGCCCCAGTGAATATCTAACAAAAGTAATACATTATCTTTCCAAGAGACTTCCACCAATGTGTATGGATCTGGTAGCGTGCTTCTGTCACTTAAAGTAAGCTTTTTTTTAAACTTAAACTTTTCGGTTTTATTTAATGTCTCAAAATAACTTGATTCTTTCCAACTTTCCATATTTTAGATGTATAGAAGATAAAAAAATACCAAGTATTTACTATTTCTTAAATCATTTCAAACGCTAAATTTGTTTGTTTTGACTGCCAAAGTCTTGCACATGCGCACTAGTTTCTCAAAATCAAAACAACGAAAAGGGGTCTATATCTGCAATGATTAATATTTATACATTATATCTGCAATGCCCTGTGCTTTGTCTATTGAAATGTCCGAGTCCATTCATTATTAAACAGAGTATAATATTATTTTATTAGTTATCTAAATTCTGCCAATGTTGCGCACACGTTTTAAAATATTAACGGGGGTGTGGTGAAATAGCTGTAAAACTATAAATTTCTTTATTACCTTGATATTATGTATTTTAAATTATTACTTTATTTAACTAAAATTTATAATGTTAATAAAATGGTATATTTCAAATATAAAGCTGAAATTTTAAATTATGTTTTTAATAAAAACATTTTCCAACCCCCTAATTGATTATGATTGCTGCGTGGCAAGTTTAAATCATAGACTTGTCTTTTATATAATATTTGTTATTTAAAATGCAAACCAAATTCTTTTAAACAAAATTTTTTTCTTCGAAGTGTTTTAAAAAAAGTACATTTTAAAAAAAGCACATTTTAGAAAAATTAAAAAAGACTATATTAAAAAAAAAGGCTGCTAGTAGGAATCGATCCTAGAGCTCCCGCTGCAGAGCATTGGGCACTTACCACTCGGCTACACAGACTTATTCACTGTTTCAGTTTTAAAAAGTATAAAAAATGTAAAAGACTTTATCAAATGGAATTAAGTGCTACAGATCACATTTTAAGGCGATGTTGCCACAATACTATTTTCCTGTGAAAGTAAAACTGGAAAACTTGATATTTGTTTTAGCATGTTTTTAACATTACAAGTTTAAAGAAAGATAGATATTTACGCAAGTTAGATAATAGCATACAATTTCGTTGATTTTTCTTTTATAAAAAAATGCTGCTACTCTTTCTCGCTATTACCTCGGTTGCAATGGTTGCCAAGAGTATCGTGTCAAATACTCTCCAATGAGTATTGAATTCGTTATTATATAATACTAGCTGGATTGACCCGTAAAAATACGGGTCTTTGTAATTCTATTCCAAACAAACCTTTTCCCTTATTTTCTTAATCTAGCTGTCCGTATCGGTAAATACAGGTCTTTTCTTCTACTTCTATATTTATTTATTCCACGCCAATCATTTCTTTACTTGTTCCTTATTTACTTCAATATTTTTTAGTAAACGGTGGAAAAAAATTCATCAAAAAAATTTGCTTTGAGAGCAAAAAAAAACTTTAACATACGCACTTTTTCCGCATACGTATATAGCTTATTAAACCCCGTTTATTTTTTTTTTTTTTAAAATTCTGAACTAAACTACTTCCTACATTTAGACTAGCCATGGACCATGGTTTATGGTCGCGTCCTAGCCATTTTCAATAGTTACTATTTACTATATTTATTATTATTATTATATGCTTAGTTTTGAATAATAACGGTCTTTTATAGTTACCTTTGTATTAGACGGAAACGGTAATGCAATTCTTTAAAACGTTAATCGCTTAAAGCGTCAAAAGTCATGCAAAAAAACAAATTATAAATTTTGCGGTTTAAAAGTTGAAAAACTAATAAAAATATAACAAAAAGTTTGGTAATTTTTAAACGTTAACATTTAGCTCTTACTTATGGTATTTATTTTGTTTTCATTTTACATTTTTAAAAAAATGTTGAAGCGCCTAACTACATGCATAACTTTGATAGCTCACAAGTTAAGTGCGCTGTCATCAGATTCGCTGTGCAAGGCTTCAAATCCGCGCCTAAAAAATCTCAATACATTTTTTTTAATCTGGCTATATTTATAGCAAAAAATTAAATATAACAAAAAACCTTTTAATTGCTTTTTTTTCCCCTGCCTCCACTGCAATACCATGTGGAGTAGCAGGACGGTTTTATCAAATTTTTTCTTTGTTAGGTTTTAGGACCTTTTTTTTTAAGACTATCCGTAGCTTATTAGGACCAATTATGTGAGAACAGTATCAAAATCGTGACACACACGCAACAAATTTTCGCCCCGTTTATTGGTGTTTTTAGAAATCCAAAAAATTTATAAAATTTAAAAAGAAAAAACGGTTAAAGTGTATAACATTTAACTTGTTTAACTTCACAAATATTTTGTAATTTAAAGAAAAAAATCGCTGTTGGTAAATTCGAACCACGACTATTACGTTCAGAAGCTTAGCGCGCTAACCACTCGGCCATGCTGACACATCAAATATCGAAATTTTAAAAATATATAAAAATTGTTTTTAACGGAATTGCTGTAGATCAAAAATTAAGGAGAGGTTGACGCAATGCAATTTTTAAGTCAAAGTCAAACTATAAAACTTGAAAAATGTTTCAGTATGTTTTATCATTACTTAATTACGTACGTTAGATATTTGCATACACGTTTTCTTCTAAAAAAAGTGCTGCGACTCTTTCTACTAACACTACTATTAAGTTCGGCATTATTATATAGAAGATAGATAGATTATAAAATAGTTTTTCACTTAAAAGGAAAAACTCTATTCCACATTAACCTTATCTCTATTTCTCCCTCAAATATTTTTTAGTGAACAACAGATTATGTGCTAGAAAAAAAAAATTCACATATGCGCCTTTTCCGTATATTTATATTTAGAGCTTAACATGAAGAAGGTAAATCATTTAGTTCAAGACAACCTGCCCAAACCCAAATCCTCTGTTGATTTATGCACACTCACTGTGGCTAGTCCTGTAAAATAAGTAGCTAGGCAAGTCAAATAAATTAATTTGATCTGTTTTTCTGCATAAAACAAAAACAGAAAATGTGAAGTACTTCATAAAAGGAACTGTAATATTGGATTTAGTTAATTCAATACAAAGTGATAGGAAACTGCAAAATAAGGTAACAACGTGAAAATTATTCAAATACTAATTTACAACAATTTGTATTGCGTTTTATTAAAATAGCTTTATTAAATGGTATGAAGATTGATGATTCTTCTTCTTCGCCTTTAGAAAATGGTTAACGATTTGAAAGACTTTTGAATTGATTATAAAAGCATAATCTAAAAATGAAATAAAATCATTATTGATAACACTGAATGCACATTTATTTTTTTTATGTTAATTCATTTGAGAAATGAAAAATACAAAACAAAATTTAGTAATATTAAATAAATATTAGACACTTACTTTTGTGTGAGTGCTTTTTTAAAAGTCTCTAATATTAGGTTGGAAGGCTGGAATAACTCTTTTTTTTAAAAAATTCAGTTTTATCAGCATTGCTAAAGATAAAAAATCTTACTGACACAAAAAAATTAGGCATTTTTTCTTAAAATATTTCTTGGCTTTTAGTGAATGATTATGAGTAAGTTTCAGTAATGAAGCTACCCAATAATCATTTTTAACGATAGACACCAACGTGAAGGTAAGCCAAGCTGTCTATCAACACAAAACATCACAACAACATTACAGGATGACAAACAATAACAACAGTAGTGTAGGCAGGATTTTTGTTGTTTCAGATATATATTTAGAAGCTGTTGAAGAGTTTAACTTTGTTATGTCTAAAAAAATTCAGGTTAGGAAAAAAACTTTTTTTAAACATTTGTTCCTAAGCTTTAAAAACATCAATTTTTTGCAAAGTATTTTAATTCTATAAACGTGAATACACTTAAGTTTGGTTGAAAGTGCTATCTGAAGCATCAAAAGACCCTGCCTATGCTACTGAATACACATAGCATCAAATATTTGTACATAACACATTTGCACATAACACAAAATATTCAGATTATGTGTTTCCAGAATAATTAAAAAAGCTAGACAACAAAACCTAGCTCAACACTTGTAACACCGCTTGGCACTAAACGCTGCCAAGTAACACCACAATTTAGTAACACCGCTTGGCATTAAGTGCCAAGTAACACCACTAATTAGTAACACTGCTTGGCTAGCAAGAATCACAATCTTGCACTACACGTTGCCAAGTAACACCACTTTTCACATGGAAACAACTTAATATAAACTTGTATAAACTTAAGCACATAAATATAAATAAAGATATATAAACGCATATAAACACATACATTTATATACACATATAGCAAAAAAAAAAAAAAAAAACATACAAAAAATATAAAACACATATAACACATAATATACCTGTCAAAATTATAAATTAAGAACATTTGTAAAGACAACATTATTTGTGTAATGTTTGTTAAATGACGTACCTTGTAATGGATGTTTATCAACTTTGAAAAACAAACTATTAAATGATCTTGTTCTTGAACATGCAACATATAATTGGCCGTCTGAAAAGCAAGGTTTTTTGAGATAAACACCAACTTTTTCAAATGTTTGACCTTGACTTTTATTTATGGTCATTGAGTATGCTAACCTAACTGGAAACTGACGGCGTTTAAGTGTAAAAGGTAAATTTGCATCTGATGGAGCTAATTGAACTCGAGGAACAAATACCCTGTTACCAGCTGATACACCTGTTAAAACCTCACCATCAATATAATTGTTGTGTAATGCACGCACCATCAAACGGGTTCCATTACAAAGTCCACCTTTGAGATCTAAATTTCTAAGTAGCATTATAACAGCACCAATTTTTAATTTTAGGCAATGAACAGGCATACCTGATGGAGTCAAACTATTTAAAAACTCGACTGAAAAGTTATTAATTTCATTAAGATCATCAGTATCAATGCTATCTGAACTTAAATATGTTTTCACATCATCGGGTAAGCGATGAAGGACTTCTTCATTTATTGCCAATGAATCAACATTTGTTGGCGTTAAAATAGCACGTTTTGCATAATCAGCTTCTTCTGCACACCGAAAATCTTCTCCACAATAGATTCATTATCACTGAGAAAATACTGCTCAGGTATTTCAATACACCCTCGCAAAGGATCTTCAGGCTTGACAGGTAATGTTCCACTTCCAAGCTTTAAAAGCCATTGAGAAAATTCCTCTTCTCCTATCTGAACCCTCATGTTTACAGTTAATGAGAACCTTTGCACATATTGCCAATGTTCAGAACATTTTAAACATGATTCTATACTTCTGCTGGTCGACCTCGCTTCACAACTGGAAGTATTTGTCTGAAGTCTCCACCCATAAGAATAACCTTACCACCAAAAGGAAAGTTGTTATTACAAATATCTTGTAATAGCTTATCAATGGCACTCAAAGCATATTTGGGTATCATAGATGCTTCATCAAGTAAATACAAACTGATTTGTCTCAGGAATCTACCATGAATAGAGTTTGGAGTTACATTACATGTTCTAGTTTCCAAAATTGGAACAGGAAGTTTGAATAAGCCATGCATTGTGCACCCATTTTTGAGAAGAGTTGCAGATATTCCTGTCCATGCAGCTGTTGCAGTTCTAATATGCCTGCTCTGTGTTTCAGAAATTAAATAGTTGTAAGTAAATGTTTTACTACAACCGGCAGGCCCATCCATAAAAAACAACCTTGAATGCTTATTTTCGTTAGTAGGCTCTACACTTAGTGCAGCAAGTATCGCATCAGCTACATTACGTTGATTATCATTCAATAATGGTCTAACTCGGTTTGCTTCATCAATAAACACCTGAACATCTTCATCATCATTTTCTGGGACATTATCTAAAAACTGATCTAAAGCTGGCAAATTATAATCAGCTAAGGTTTTACCACTCTGATTAATTATAGATTCAATTTGACGAAGAGCTGCCTGCTCAGCAAGTACGACTGGCATTGAATGGCGTATGTAATCCTCAACCATATAATTTTTAAATGTATTCCAAAGGTGTAAAGGATCATCAGGTTCACATAAAGTTAGTATGATGCAAAACAGTAGCCTAATTTGTTTAGGCATCCGAGTTGCAGCAGCTTCAGTTAATGTATTTCTCCACTCAATGTCATCTTGCAATAAACCTAAATGATAACATGCTTCACGAAATGTATTAAAAACAGTACCATGAACAGTACGCAAATCCTCAAAAGACTTTGCACCTTTTACATGCAAAAGTAACAACCTGAGAAAAAATAATTCGCAAAATGAACTGACTTTATACATTCGAACAACCACCTTATCACTACCTCTTTGTCTTACTTTCCACATGCAATTTTTACCAAAAACAAAGTGATATGGAATTTCAACATAAGAATACTGACGTGCTTCATTATTTTCAGCATTTAACTTAAACCAAGCGGTTAGGTGAGTGTCACGCTGTGCTGCACGATCTATAGCTACTTGTTCTTCTCCTTCGTTAAAATATACTCTCTGATTATCAGGAAGGTGGATTTGAAGGCGGATAATAGTATGTGACATATCACGTATGGAATACTCATATATTCGCCAAAGAGCCTCTGGGGCGGAAACAAAGCGACAGTCTAAATATGTGTTAATTTCATCATGGTCAACACTTTCATTAATTACCACATTCGCACAATCATGCCCCCTTATAGACATATTTGTATAAATACTTCACTGACTTAATAGACATGCAAGCTTCAACATTAATGTAGGCTTGGTATTTTTTTGATAACCAGGGGTTATAGGGTACGACCCATCGATTATCAACTTGGTTACTTTTTATAATGACTACTCTACCATTATCTAAACGCCTGTAGTTAGGATAACCATTGAAAATTGCAACAGTGCAAGGATTAAACTCTTTAGGAAATTTTTTTGTGCAAACTCCATCTTTCATGCAAGGAGAATTGGGATTTAAAATCCCACATGGTCCATGAATCATACATGTTTTTACAATTTCAAAAAGTTCAGGATCAACAGTTTGATCTGGAATTTCAGCTGATATTAAACTATCAACATCCTCTGCTGTTTCTAGCTTATCATCGGTTACAAAGTATAATAAAATATGCACATGTGGCAAACCACGTTTTTGAAACTCAATAACCTGTACATGACTTACAACTTTGCCTAAGACTCCATGTTTAAAAATATCACCTAAGAATCATGTAAGTTTCATCTTAAATACGCGACAAACTAAATCAGGTCTGTCAGTTGCGCTCTTACCTGAATTTAAATTTTCTGTAATTTCTCTCCATTTTGAATTACAGGTAAAAGTAATAAAAAGATCTGGTTTACCATATTTCTTTATAATTGCCATTGCATCTTCAAAATTTTCTTTTAAAGCTCTTGGACTTCCAACATATGAGGATGGTAGTATAACAACACGACCCGGTCTTACATTAAGGTTATTTGCAACATTATTTACATACTCATGTAATGTATCGTATTGTTCACTTCTAAGTTTTTTTTTGGTTATTTCTGATAAAAGCAAGGCGCTGTCCTTCAATCTTGACATATGCATCAACAGCATACTGTTGAAAAAGTTTCTTACCATAAAATATAGGACTGAACGTTTGTCTAATAGAAAGCCTATAGTTGTAGTACTGAGATAAAGTAACACGATTTCGAACACGTGTTGCTCGGTCAGGATTGTGCTCTAGTTGATCATGCCATCCTGCATCACCTCTTAGAAAAAATATTGGATATATCATTGGATCTAGATTTGCAGACATACTTGAAATTGTTTTTAAGGGTTGACCTCGAGGATAAATAACAACTTCTCTAGAAGGAGGTGGAGCACCATCATTTCCTACAAACACAATGGCAACCACTTCATGTGATGGAAGATTGTATCGACGTCTATCACAACCCTCAAGCAACGACATTTTGACAACAGAAATCGGTCGACCTTCTATAGCAGCTTGACGAATTTCTGCATCTTCAACTTCTGCCATGTTTTTAAATGCAAGCGCATATGGGTTCTCCTGATTAATTATAGTCTGCAAAAGTTCCATTAACTCACGTATGCAACAATCATTTTGCTCCATTCGAAAGTTTAAAGCAGTATTAGGATCATAAACATATAATTGACAATAAGCAGGTGGATCCCTTGCTGATGTCTTAGATTACCAATACGATGCATAATTTGCACACTAATTCTAAAACAGGGTGGACCACGATTTGACGGAGGATATATTGTGGCTATGAATAAAGCAAAAGATAGACAGGCATTATAATTTCGTATATGCTTGAAAAAATTTTGATTCAAAGCACGATAAACATGGTTGCCTGTCATTAAATCAACCATCAGCGGTGGATAAGGTGAAAGTGGAGGTAAGACAACCTTTCCTGAATGGCAGCACAAAAAATGTGTTTCATTTAAAAATTTTTTAGCACCACAATACTGACAATTATGGTTCATTTCTCCTAGGTAATTACTCTCTATAAAAACATTATTTCTTGCTATGCAATGGATTCCACGCCTAAATAATACTCGTCGAGCCTCATTTCTTTCATTTTGGCGACGATTAACTTCTTCACGTCTAGCCTCATTCCTTTCATTTTGGCGACAATTAACTTCTTCACGTCTAGCCTCATTCCTTTCATTTTGGCGACGATTAACTTCTTCACGTCTAGCCTCATTCCTTTCATTTTGGCGACGATTAATTTCTTCTCGCCTAGCCTCATTTCTCTCATTTTGGCAACGATTAATTTCTTCTCGTCTGGCCTCATTTCTTTCATTTCGACGATTTCTTCTATTTTCAGCTCTTAAGTTACTTGACATAATTAAGAAATTATTTATGTTTGATAAAACTTTATCTTAATAATTTTTTGCTATACTAATCTAAAATGAACAAAAACAATAAAGTGCTATTTATCAGTTTAAACCTATGAAACTATGTGTATAGCGTCTAATAAAATTTGTGAACAAAAGATATAACTAAACTGGTTTGAAACAGAGAAAAAGCCAGAAGTATCTTGTAATAACATACTATATTGAAAGTAATAAAACAGTATTTTTTGAAACAAATAAAAAATTTTATTATTTTAAAAGTCATATTAATGGTAATATTGAAAAGCAAAATTAGTTACATATTTTTAAATGACATGCCAACAATTGCAAACATGTTGCATCATATAGACCACATGTGGCTGACAACTGATTTTAAATACTATTTTATAATATATCTAAAGAGAATAATGTAAAGAGATTAATATGTGTATAGTGCATATATTAGACATATTAAACAGATATCATAGAAAAAGAAAAACTTTAAATATATTTACCCAATCTTTCAAAAACTATATAACACTTAACAAATAAAAGTTAATACAAAAGAAAATTTAGTATTATTAAAATTAAAAATGAGGATAAAAAGATGTAAAAACGTAAATTAATAAAAAAACTTATAGACAAATTATTAAAAACTTTTATAACATAAAAGTTCTTTTTTAGTTTAGGATTTAAAAACAAAACTAAAAATCAAAAAAATAAAATAGTAAAAGTATATAAATTAAAATAATAAAAAATTGCGAAATTAAAAAAAACATTTTTTTAAAAATTCAATTTTCTTTATAAATAAAAAAGAAGATAATTCTACCAGTAGTTTAAAAAAGCTACTGGTAAAAATTAAAAGAGTTAAACCGCTTTCCAGCACCCCTCCTTCTACCAGTGGTGTCATATGGGGCTTGTCTCCTCCATCTAAAGGAGGGATCATCTCCCCCATATTGACTCCACCGGTAAAAAGCTCTTGAAGATATTGGACCTGGGTGCTGGGAGCGATATTGCAGGAAATCTTGATGCGATGCTAAAAAACAAAAACAAAAAAAGAAATAATATTGAATACAATACTGCACAAAACAACCAATAAAAATATTATCTAAAACTATTTAGACTTCAAAAAAAAAAAGTTATGACAAAAAAAAATAAATAAATAAAGTAATGTAAAAATAAGGAGATGCAATGTTTAAATTTCATATACACCTACACAAATACACATAACACCCACAAAACTGCATAAGTATGCAAAACAGATTACCTGATGGTCCTGCAGATATTGTTGCTATTATGGAAATAAATAAAAAAGTATATGAACTAACACATATATTAAACAGTTATGTAATTGCATACAAACATGAAAAAAGTAATGTTTTGGTTTCAATACACATAACACTGCATAAATACGGAAAAACTGCATAAGTATGGAAAACACATTACCTGGTGGTACTGCAGTTGATACTGTTGCTATTGCAGAAATAAATAAAAAAGTATATAAACAAACACATATATTAAACAGTTATGTAATTGCATACAAACACGAAAAAAGTAATGTTTAAGTTCCAATACACATAACACTCATAAAACTGCATAAGCATGCAAAACACATTTAAAAAAATTTAAGTTTCAATACACATAAAACTCATAAAACTGCATAAGTATGCTAAACAGATTACCTGATATTATTGCTTGAGGTGTTAATGTATCGACAAAAAAATAAAGAAATAAAATGACGTGCAAAATAAGATATGCAATCTTTAAGTTTTACATTAAATCACATCATTACCTGATAGTACTGCAGATGATATTGATGCTACTGTGAAAGTAAAAAAAAAAAAGTGTATAAAGTAACATATGTTAAACATTTATGTAATTGATAACAAACATGAAAAAAGTAATGTTTAATTTCAATACCCATAACACTCATAAAACTGCCTAAGTACGCAAAACACATTACCTGATGGTACTGCAGATGATATTGATGCTATTGTAAAGGTAAAAAAAAAAAAAAGTGTATAAAGTAACATATGTTAAACATTTATGTAATTGCATGAAAACAGTAATGCCTAAGTTTCAATACACATAAAACTCATAAAACTGCATAAGTATGCTAAAGAGATTACCTGATATTATTGCTTGAGGTGTTAATGTATCGACAAAAAAATAAAGAAATAAAATGACGTGCAAAATAAGATATGCAATCTTTAAGTTTTACATTAAATCACATCATTACCTGATAGTACTGCAGATGATATTGATGCTACTGTGAAAGTAAAAAAAAAAAAGTGTATAAAGTAACATATGTTAAACATTTATGTAATTGATAACAAACATGAAAAAAGTAATGTTTAATTTCAATACCCATAACACTCATAAAACTGCCTAAGTACGCAAAACACATTACCTGATGGTACTGCAGATGATATTGATGCTATTGTAAAGGTAAAAAAAAAAAAAAGTGTATAAAGTAACATATGTTAAACATTTATGTAATTGCATGAAAACAGTAATGCCTAAGTTTCAATACACATAAAATCCATAAAACTGCATAAGTATGCTAAACAGATTACCTGATATTATTGCTTGAGGTGCTAATGTAGAGACAAAAAAATAAATAAATAAAGTAATCTGTAAATTAACATATGCTATCTTTAAGTTTTAATACACATAACACTCATAAAACTGCATAAGTATGCAAAACACATTACCTGATGGCACTGCAGATGATGTTGATGCTATTGTGAAGGTTAAAAAAAAAAAAAAAAGTGTATTAAGTAACATATTTTAAACATTTATGTAATTGATAACAAATATGAAAAAAGTAATGTTTAAGTTTCAATACACATAAAACCCATAAAACTGCATAAGTATGCAAAACACATTACTTGATGGTACAGCAGATGATATTGATGCTATTGTGAAAGTAAAAAAAAAAAAAGTGTATAAAGTAACATATGTTAAACATTTATGTAATTGATAACAAACATGAAAAAAGTAATGTTTAATTTCAATACACATAAAACCCATAAAACTGCATAAGTATGCAAAACTCATTACCTGATGGCACTGCAGATGATATTGATGCTATTGTGAAAGTAAAAAAAAAAGTGTATAAAGTATCATATGTTAAACATTTATGAAACTGCATAAAAACATGAAAAAAAAAAATTAAGTTTCAATACACATAAAACTCATAAAACTGCATAAGTATGCTAAACAGATTACCTGATATTATTGCTTGAGGTATTAATGTATAGACAAAAAAATAAAGAAATAAAGTGATGTGCAAAATAAGATATGCAATCTTTAAGTTTTTCATTAAATTACATCATTACCTGATGGTACTGCAGATGATATTGATGCTACTGTGAAAGTAAAAAAAAAAAAAAGTGTATAAAGTAACATATGTTAAACATTTATGTAATTGATAACAAACATGAAAAAAGTAATGTTTAATTTCAATACACATAACACTCATAAAACTGCATAAGTATGCAAAACACATTACCTGATGGTACTGCAGATGATATTGATGCTATTGTAAAGGTAAAAAAAAAAGTGTATAAAGTAACATATGTTAAACATTTATGTAATTGCATGAAAACAGTAATGATTAAGTTTAAATACACATAAAACCCATAAAACTGCATAAGTATGCTAAACAGATTACCTGATATTATTGCTTGAGGTGCTAATGTAGAGACAAAAAAATAAATAAATAAAGTAATCTGTAAATTAACATATGCTATCTTTAAGTTTTAACACACATAACACTCTTAAAACTGCATAAGAATGCAAAACACATTACCTGATGGTACTGCAGATGACGCTATAGTGGAGGTAAAAAATATATTTACATAAACTAACATATACTAATCAATTAAACAGTTTATTTTAGAGTGATAAAACCGCACACAAACATCAAAAAATGTGTGTTAAAAATAAACAAAAAGAAACATAAGTGTACTTTGCTTACCAATTGAATTTTCTAAATTTTCTAAATAGAATAAAAAAAAACTCATTAACATTAGGAAAGAAACAAACAATGTTAGTTTCTTTCCTAATGTTAATGAGTTTTTGACAAATATAAATAATAAAGTTGACAAATATTCTGCATGTTAAACATGCAGAATATTTGTCAACTTTAGGAAATCTATAAATAAAGTTGGAACAAAACAAAAGGCAAAAATAACAATCACAAAACAAAACAAACCAAAAAAGAAAAAAGCGACAAAAAAAATAAAAAATAAACTAAAGAAACAATCCACAAGAACAATATAGTAACTTACTAAGTTGTTGAAATATAAGCCCTATAAAAAAAAAATGCTAAAATTTGTATCAAAAAAGCTAAAAGACCGTAGAATACACCTTTTTTTTTGAAAGTAAAATGCTATATCTTTATCTATAATAAACAAATGTAATATAATCAAATTCTGTTTACCCATTGAATGTTCTAATTTTTCTAAATAAAATGAAAAACTTATAAACATTAAAATAAACTAACTTGCCAAATATAGAATAACTTTATGTTAAATAAATATGTAATAAAAAAAATAAAAAGCATGACAACAACAATAACAAATTGCTTACTTAGATTCTCAACAGAATCTTCTAATTTTTCTAAATAAAATAAATTTAAAAGTTGCAAAAGTCACTTGCTGACTGACTAACTGTCACAACTGACAAAAGTCACTTGCTAAATAACTTTAAAAAAACTAAAAAAGCATAAATGTATTTGCACACAAAAAAAACAAAAAACAACAACAAAATTCCTCACTTAGCTTGTCCATTATTTCCGCTAAACATTAAAAAAAAGTTATAATTAACAAATTGCTGAAATTGGTGAAATATATATCGGCTCTGATCTCTTGAACATCTAATATATATATAGACAAAATTAATTTTCAAAATATTTACTTTTTCAATTAAACATATAAGATTTGTCTTAAATTATAAAACTGTTGCACAGTTTTATAATTTAACACATTCAGTAAATGACAAAAAGTTTCATTTTACGTAAAAGTTTAGTAGTTAGAAGACTTAAAAGTCATTTTTAGCTTAAACACGTTTTATAAAATTATAGCTTAAAAAACCTTATACGCGTTTTTAAGGTTCACTGCTTTACAAAAACATCAATCAAAATGGCGGAATAAACAAATTTTGGGTCCACCCTTTTAAAGTTCTAAAAATTAATTTATATATTTTTTAATTTTAGTTAAATTTTAGGGGGGTGTACTTGATTCACGGGGTTAGGGGAGGGCGGCATATCTTGGTTGATTTTAATTAAAAACGGCTAAATTAAATCATCGTTTTATTCACACCGTAAATCAAGTACAGCTCCGCCACTTTTAGAACATATGTAACTGCTACTATATATAGTATATATAAATGGCTTACTTCGAAAAAATGCAGAAACTTCTTCGTTGCCTAAAGATATACAAAATTATCTCAATGTAATTTCTTAATAAAATAATAAGCTAAATATCTCAGTATTATTGACGTATCATCTCTTTTTATCTCTTTAATTAATGTTATACAAAACTAAAAGAATACCTTCTGTATCTTGGCTGCTCATTTCTAAAAAATAATCTTAATGTTTATTCTCGGTTTAAAAACATATTAACTTCAAACATATTAACATGGTAATTATAAAATAAGTTTAATTTTTTAAATGAAGATTACAATAATTAAACTTGTAGATACAACTTACTTGTCGTCCCTCGCTTTGCAATTGTTATAATCGATATGAAGTCCACATGGCCGAGTTTTATTGGTTTTAGAGTACAGTTGGTGCACATATCATAATACAAAAATCAGATGGTTTTGAATCTATTAATTAAGCTGTTTTTATTAACGGATTTGGTGGATTTAATTAGATAACCGCAAAGTAGTTTTACAGTGGTTTAAGAGTTGGCGTACGTTTCGTAATACAAAAATCATTTGATATTTGTTTATATCTTAATATTCGAGCATTTCTATTAGCGGATTAGGCGAAATTTTGTGGGTTTTCTGTTTGTCACCTTCTTGAGTAACTAAATTTTTTTTTTTAGGTTTCAGATTACAATTTCTTTTTTCATATCTTTTCGTACTTTTTAGGACTCTTGACCAGCTAGTTTTAATAAAAATTTCAGATTGCATGTAAAACCTTTTTTTTATATATATAAGAAAGAAATTTATCATTTTAATGAGTGTTGAACTCGCAGTTTTAACTAATTACCTAAAACATAAGTATCTCTATTATGATATATGCGCAACAAATTTCCAACAGCGTTTTTATGTTTTTAAAAATTTTTAAAAACGTTTTAAAAAATTCTATCCGTTTGGTTTGTTATAGTATATTATATCTTTATTTTCATGTAATGCGTATAACATCTATATGCATTTAAACTTGTTTTTCTTTGTTTTCTAGAAAACTGGATAGGATTTAAAAAAAAAAAGTGTAAGCAAAAGGTTTTGAACCGAAGCGAAG